TATTCAGACTCCATAGGGTGGGTGGCCCTCACACCCTTAATCCTGGTGCCCTTGAGCCTAGCATTGCATCATGAATCAATTCCAACTTCACACACTCTAGATCCAGCCTTTGACCACATGAGGCTTTTGGGGACAGCTACACCCAAACCATAACAGAGACTCACAACAAATTTATTCACAAAACACTGTCACTGTCCTCATAATGGAGTGTTTCCATGAAAGCCACCAGTTTTATCAGTTATGAAAGTCTAAGTTCACATCTAAGTGTAATCCTTTATTTTACATCTTGAGCTTCTACACTATAATTGTGGGCTTTTAAAGTAAATAAGTTAGAGAAATATATTTTATAATGTTTACAATTCCCTGACCTGGATAAAATTCAGCATGTTATTTATTCACCCAATTGTTACTAAAAGGGTCAATACAAAAATTAATGAGAATTCCTAGAGAAACACAGACAAAAGAAAGATTTTAAATAGCATATAAATCTACCAAAATACATTATCTTTATCAATATGTATTTATTTTTGAATACTTATTTTAATGAGGATGTACTTACATACTTAACCCAATTCCCTACTAGTGGACAATTTATGGTTATAATTTTCACTAGCAACACAATGCTTAACATTTTATGAATGAATATATGCACATTTTATTAATTTTTCCAAATAATTATTTCATAAAAAGTGAATGAAAACACTTTTGATAAACTTTGGCATCTTCCTGTAACATCTTTGCCAATACTGGTTACATTTTCTTCCCTATCCTCCTTCTGTTACTTAAGCAAAAGACAACTGACATTTCATTACTTATAAAAGTATGTTTGCTTGCTTTCCAGTACTTTATTTTTCTTAAAATCGATTTTTCTATATTTACCGTTATTTCTTTCACCACTGCTCTATTGAATCGCATGGGATTCATATAGGTTGTGAAAACTCTTCCTGTTACACAATGCACTATTGACTTCACTTTGCAGTGTGTCCCCTTACCTTTGTTATGATGTTCTGTGTTACAGTTTCTTTTGGAGGCGGGTACTGGGGAACAAACTCAGGTCCTTGTGCTTGCAAGGCAGGAAAGGGCACTACTGAGCTAAATCCCCAGCCCCAGAGTTTCTTCTTCATGAACCTTTTCTTCAGAAGTTCAGCCTAACAAGCTACAGGTTTTCCCACTTGCAAATAAAAAGGATGTCAAAGTCTGCATTTTGTTTACTCTTTCATTATTTATTCTTAAGTTTTTGGTTCTATAAACATTTCCTTTAGAAAAAGTGCTGTTACATAAAAATCTGGCTTATCTTTCAAATATTGATTTAATTGTCTCTCCTCTCTCATTGAAAATGCTTCCACTTTAAAGTTCCTAAAATGCTCTCATCTTAAAGTTCACAGCTGATGTCATCCAGCCAGACTGCAGCAAAGCCAGAACTTGACTGTAAATTCAATGCTTTGAATTTATGATGAGCAAAAGTGTGGCACTGGAATCGATGAGAACCACATGTAATGTGATAAAGTGGATAGCCACAGTCTCCTTGCCTTCACTAAATAACTTCTGCATCTATTCCTCAACCTTAGGGTGGGAATGAGTCTACCAAACTTCTATTGTGAGAGGAAGGCTTATTATTCAGTTACCTATTCAATAATGTTCATTAAAAGCATATTAAGTAAAGTGCATGTTTTGAGATGTCATGACGAAGGCAACTTAAAAATAGATCAATTGTCGAAAGAGATTTTTGGCTTCATGCTAATGTGGTGTTGAAGTCAAACAATGATTCACAGTCCAGCTCCCCATACTTCAGTCTAACCGTTGCTTTGATTATTATGATGATGAAAAAGATACCTAGTGATATGAGTATGAAAAGTCTGCATACATATATACTGCATTTCCATTCTCCAGCACGGATTTTGGGATGAAATGAGCAACTCGACAATAGTGCCCATGCAGATTTCTTTACTAAAAATAAAAAAGATAATCTTTAAGCACAGTCTATTTTTTTTTTTTTTGCTTAGAGAAGTTTTGCAATCTGTAGACAGATGAAATAAAAGTATCAACACCCCCAGCCCAAAAAAAGGCAGCATACTCAGGACAAAGAGAGCTGAAATCCCCTGATTCATCCTCATCACTTGCCTAAGTGTACTCTGTCCCCGAACACTTTCAGTTGCTTGCTCAATACACAAAACTGGTACATCATAAGCCACCTCAAATGTCGAGGAAGAAGAAAGATCTAATGCACTTTCTGAGTAACATGCACCATCTTTGTTCTCAACTTTATCTTGATTTATCAGTGTCAGCAAAGCACTCGCTCAATGTCAGTGCAGCAGGGAGACACACTCTGGATACGGCATCTGCCCCACTTGCCACCGTTACCTAGCTTTCTAGTGTCTGTTTCTTTACCCACATAAACAAGCATAACAATGGTGCCTCCTATAGGAGACGGTTGTAAAAGTTCCTAAGTGTGAAGTACTCAGGACGGTATTTGGTGTTATACCAAGTACTCCGTAGATATTGCCAATGAAGTAAAAGATTTCACTGCTTTAGTAGACAAGGCTTTCCTAATCAAGGGGCATTCTTTGTCCACACTTAAGAGTACCAGCCATCCAACATGTGCTCAAGTTTTAAGATGACATTGATTTTTAGTAGCATAACTGTCTTGTCTTTCTCCCCCTGAACTGTAAACCCACAAGGACAGAAATATGAACTTACCAGCACCTTTATGTATTGCTATTATAAGCATAAAATATTGTTCAAAAATTACTTTTTGTTTAATCGATTCAGATATTAAATTCCAAAACTAATTTTGCAATGAGTCTTTAGCTCCCTTTGGTACAATTTACAAGCTTTGGTGATTCATTTTCTTTAAGAAAACAATCACTGCATCAAATAATCGCGGACTCACCCCTTTTGGCATGCTAACATTTCTTAACAGATGTCAAGGCAGAGCTCTGACTTGATTCATAACTGCAGCCGTATGTGCCACTCGGGATGTTGAATTCTTTCCACATATTTCTCACTCGGGGTCTTAATCTTTAGGATTGTTGGACTTGTTATTAGCATTGCTATCCCAGATGTTAAATAGCATCTGACCAAAGGCAGTATAGCTCCTTGGCCTTCTCTGCCATGAAGACAGTAGATGTAATGTCTTTGGCTTGTAGACTTGAACTCATCATGGTTTCCCTTGAATCTAGACCAGAACCCGACTCATGAATGAATGGATGAATGAATGAATGAATGAATGATGGGATGAAATTCTAGTTTAGAAAGCTTAGAAAACATTATGTGTGAATCCAATGTAGATACCAATTCACAACGGTTGCAAAAGAAAAGTAAATCCTTTCAATCTCAAATTTATGTAGTTTTATTTTTTTGATTGCCAAGAGTCCTCATAGCTCCTTGTTAAGCTCTGGCTTAACAAGAGGTATAAAACCATCACTAAGATATTCACACTCCACTCCAGTCCCAGTAAAAACAACAAATCACTAGTTTAGTTATCTTGCCTAATGACACAGAAGGGCAAAACAAGTACCTAAACAATGAATAGTAACGCAAGAGGTTGGGCCGGGAAATCCACGTCAGGTCAGCAGAACTTTGCTTTGCTTTATCGCTCTCATCCCTGGATGCGGCCAAGCTTACTTTCTGAATTATATGTATGCATTGATATAATTACATAAACATTGACTTTTCCTCATACGAAGCTTTCTTCGTTATTGTTTCCTGTAATTATGATGTCATTACTTGTGGCTGTAGTAACACTGAATTTAAATCTGTTGATTGTGATGGACAGCGGCATGCCAAGAGTTAGTTCAGAGAGTCGCTTGGCCTCTGACTATATTGTGATAAATCAGCGACCCCCTGAGTACATCATACTGACACAAACTTCTTTAAGACAGCAATTATTCACCACAAGTAATTCAGAGGCTGATCTCTTTTTCGGCTTGTCATTTTTCTTAACAGAGGGAGATGTAACAACTAGAATCTAACTTGGCCTATGATTTTGATGGCCTTTTCTTCCTTATTTTAATCAAGCACATTATCCCTAACCTCAGTCTCAGTCTCCAGTCAACTAAATTGGAAAATTCTTTGATCTATTGACAGATATCTAAAACCCCATCCTTACAGTTATATGTGTGTATAAGGCATAATTTATTCTCTGTGCTATTTTTCTATGATTTATTTTCAATGAAGATCCTATGCCTGATCCCACCTACATATGAAATGCAAAGCAGTTGATCTCGCAAAAGCAGGTTGTAGAATGGTGATTCCCAGGAGAAAATGGTCCAGAGTTATGGGGAAAAGCTGGATAAAGCCTGCTGCAGAGTTTCAGTTAGCTAGGAAGAGGAAGTTTTTGACATTGTTATACAGAATGTTAACTACAGTCAATAAAAATGCACAGTATATTTCAAATTTACAATGAAGGCAAATTTCAAATATTCTCATTAAAGACTTCATTAGTTTTATCTAATCATCCCTTATTATATTAAAATCATAACATCCTTTTGTACCTCAGAAATATATCTATATAACAGTATTTGATAATGAAAAATAAACATACATTTACAAAAAAACTTACATCTGTTTTATTCCATAAAATAGGATCTGTGGGATTTCTACTTTTTAAGAGTTCCTTGCAATTATTTCCTCTTACCCAATTTTATTTTTTAAAAAAAGTTTTCATAGTTACTATACTTGATACACCTCTAAGACAAGCAATACTGCCATACCTCCTGATATTTCAATTGATTAAATTTATTTAGTTATCAATTAGTACCATTAGAGAAATATCCCCAAAGTTCAAGAAGCAGGAAAACTGTTTAATTTGCTATTTCTGAACTTCCTACACAAGGGCCTGAACTCTGCAATGTAAATCAGGCAGGATTACCTACATCACATTAATCGTTCAGCAAATGCCACCCCCAAAATGGCATCCAAACATTGAGTCTGAGACACTTTCCAGACTATCAAAGTGAAGTGGCCATGCATTAGCCTGTGCTTTTTATTTGCCTCTGCAGCGATGCCAGAGGACATGAACCTCAGCGATGTGGAACACATTCACCAGACCGACGGGGGCAGCATTCGGGATGCAGCTGGTACAAGACGTGTGGCAGAGACTGAGCCTGCCACACTCGTGCTGATGGCGCTGATGGCGCTGATGGCCCTGCCTGTGCTCTGGTGATGGAACTCTTCTGTCCTGATACAGCCTATCAAGGCCTTGTTTTCTCCTGTCTCTTCTTATGCCTGGGAAACAAAAGAGCTTTTTGGATATAGTAATTATATTTATGAAAAGGTATGTCATACTAACGTCTTAGAAGAAGCCATGTTGGAAGATTCACAAAGTACCTAAAAATCAAAATTAAAACAATAGACTGTTTTAAAATAATGTCTTCTTACAATCTAACTTAAACATTCTTAAGTTCTAACATATTAAATCTAAAAATATGAAAACTTCACAAGTGAATTTGAATAAGGACTTAGTAGCTCTGTAATTTTATTCTTCTTGATTTCAAACCCTCTTCTTTATAAAACTGAAAATGTTTTCATTTGAAGGTGTATTTGTCAGATAATGGAAGCAATACATAGAATCTCCTACAGTACTAGAAATAGAATTACATTAAGTCAATCAAAATACACAATAGCAAGTATTATGCATGCAGTTTCAAATGATTCATTTTTTGTGAGCTAAAGAGGGAAATTAATAAAAGTCTATTATAAGGGATTCAGTAGATTACTGAGGAGATCGCACATAATTTCATCGAAGAAGCTTGTAATTTTTATCCACTGTAACTTAGTCACTGACAAATCTTAAAGCTGAATATTTCATAGCAGCTGGCTTATATTTCATTATATTCAAAATACATCTTTGGTGTTGTAACTACTTCCTCTCTCTGTCCAAGGTATATAGCTATATTTCCAAGCACACACGTGCTCTATGATATCTCCAATAAAGCTGTTAATTATTTGATGGGATGTAAAAAGAACATTAGTAATTTTCATCTGGAGAAAATAATATCGTCACTCATTTTTGAAATATTATTTGTTACTTCTTTTAAAAGTTCAACGTTGAACAAATGGGCTGTGCATTTCTAGGCTCTGATGAATATCCAGATACGCAACACAGATATGTGGAATGCAGTGCTTTGGCTCCTTTCCTATGTGCATATTAGCAGAGCTGTTGATCCACAATTCCTAATTTCCAGTTGTGATAATGTGCCTCAGCAGACATGGATAGGATACACCAAAAGTTGTGCTTGAGGAGGAAAAGATAAGTCAGCTTTTATTAAGAAGTTCAGTCAATAGCCAGAGAATATAATTAATACAAAATCAAAGAACAGAAAAGGGAATTGCCAATCTTCTGAAGTAAAGCAATCAAAAGGACTTGAGATGATCTCTGATGGAGCTGAAAAGGACTTACCCAACAGCAAACATTAAGGGAAAGTCAGTTTCTCCAAATCAAGAAACACTACGTGATCAAACAATGTCACTCAGATCTCTCAATTAACTAAGTGATCCAAGGACAGTCAGTTTAAGTCACAATATTTTTTACCACCCAATCAGATTTTATTGTCTGTTCAAACACACCTCAGAACGGGAAGTATTATTCTGTGTCCATTCTGGGTGTCATTTTCCATCACTCCCATTCCACACTTTGATAGCTTCCCCAGCCTGTTCAGTGTGTAATTAATTCATTTGCATGATCTCATCACTCCACAGATAACAAGCGTAAACTCATTCTACAAGTTTTTACTTCAACCTCAGTTCCATATTTAAATAATTCTTGGAAAAGAGTAAATGAAGTCACTGGGTTGCTGCAGAATTGGCTTACTATGGCAAAATTTCTGACCCCCAAATTAGGCGAATCTAATTTTAAAGCAAACAAACTGAAGAACATAGTTTATCAGTCTAAAATGTATCTGGATAAAATTAGCTGTTTGAAGATAATTTCAGAAATGGCAAACAATGGATAAAAGTAGAATAATAAAGTCAATAAATAGAATTAGTAAATATTCTTTGTTATGTACATTTTAAATGCTCAAATGGGTGTTGTGTCCTTCCAGCTATGTACTTTGGAAATGATATACATGTCAGAAAAATGCTGCCAGTGCTCAAAGCTCTGGGAGGTTTTCAGAATTTCTCCAAAGGCCTGAGGCATGATTTTTAATATTCTCAATGAGGACATTCATCTTTTAATACTTTATTCTGTGACATTTTATATTTATATAGCTTTTTGTGATTTACAAAGCTCTTTGAAATGAGACAAAGTATTTCATTTGACCTTCCTCACCCATAAAGGATGAGCTTGATTTTTAGTAAAATAAAAACACTGGCACTGGTTTTTCTTTTTAAATATGGCTCTGAACTTACAGCTGAAGAGTTCTCCAAAAGGAATGCCTAAGAGGGTCTTGAGCAATAGTGAAATTGTTAGTATGTGGATCAACTTTCCTTGATGACTTAATGGATGATGCCTAGGTTAAATGAATACATGTAAAGGTATCACTAATATCTGTATAATCCTCTTTTATAGTGGAGTGATTTAAACAAAACCATTTTTGAATCTTGAGCTATTTTTATATATTTTAAGGAATCACAAAAATTAATCTGAGGAAGTGTGCTGTAGCTCCATAGTCGAGCACACTCTTACCATGCATGAGGCCCCAGGTTCAATATCCAGGGATGAAAAGCAAAGCAGATCCCCTTTGCCCAGTGTTTTGCATAGATGCAGAAATTTACTTGACTTTTCTTTTATGTAGACATAATAAATGTGGCATATGCATGGCCTCCTGTAAATTTCCCAATAATATTACCGCCTCCATTTTATCAGTGAGGGAACTGAGGCTTGGAAACATTGTCCAATGTCATATATCTAATCATAGTAGAAGACTGGTGACTCTACATAAATAAGAAGCAAACTGTATTCCTGATCAAAGATATCACATTTGTAGAACAAAAGAGAAGAACCACGGGTTAGCATAAAAATAAGTCAGAATCATTAACATCTCAAAGCTAGGGGTTAAATAAAATTCAATTGACTATATAATTATAATTACATAGTTGTCAAACTTCATTAAACTGTGAAAACATAATGAAAAGAAAAAAATGTAAATATGCACTGTTTTTCAGTAAGTTACTACTCTCCCATATATTTGAATTTCATTAAAACAAATCAGTTACCAAAGGTGAGAAAGAAAACAAAACTTGTATAACTAGCTTGGGATCATGAAGTTACATTTAGTTTTTATGTATGATGAGTATAAAATAATTCCAGGTCCATGTAAGAGCATGAGATTTTTGAAAAACAACAACAGAAGGAAGAAAAGAAAAAGAGTGTGGCAGAGTATTATTTTTAAAATCCTAGCTGTGCACTTTTATTCCTTATTTATTTAGTGGCATCTTATGAATGAAATAATGTCTGTAGTGTTTTTTTTTTTCTCATTAAAGAGTAGATGTTAGTAAGCTATTTTCCCAAACACTCATATTTTCTGAAGCTCTTAATAATGATGCTTTGAAAAGGACTCAATGAGTTTATTATTAATTGTTTTCAATCGCTTCATATATTGTTTGTATCACTAGAACCCCTCAAGTACAAAAAAAATATATTTCTTCTTTCATGAAATAATTCAGACAAGACTTCTGTTTTTCTGCTGGCAATTCACTGTGTAAGTTCTGAAGTTAGTATTTCTTTAAGTTGCCATTTTGAATCATGCAATTACATTGGTTGAATGAAAATTCAATAATACTAATGATCATTAATGTTGTTAGGTATGATTTTGGGCTATTGAGTTTTTCTTTAAATGCAGGTTATTGTACATAATTCATTTCTGATTAAATATAGAGGAAACATAATTTTCAGATTCAAAGTCTGCTTTCTTTGCCCTTATTAAACTTATACTCTGAACTGCTGTTATATTATTATTTTGTACATGGATAGCTAATCAAATGAAGTTCTAAAGTCTCCTCACCACTTCTATGTGCAGAACAATGGAATAATTTTATCATATGGATTAACATCCATATTACCAAAAGCAACATATGAAAGAGAGAATTATGGGGGTGAATGATTGTGGACAGATTCGCAAACATCTGATTTAACTGTTTTTCACCTTCCTGTACTTGTCAGTTGTTACGTTGGAATTGTCTTCACCAAGAAGTGTATCACAAGTTCACACATCCTAGCTCTCTCATGAAGTTTTACTTTGATGACATAAAGGGTAGAGTGAAAAAAGAAAAGGATTCGGGGACTTGAAACATGAGAGAATTGAAAGGAAAACAGTGAATGTGTAAGGAATAAAGCTGGTTTGGAAAGAGAAGGAATGGGTTGGACTCACATTAATGTTTTCTGGAAGTTTGATAAGCAAATTGCTACTATTATGAATTTTGAAACCCCCCCTCTGAAAAATATGGGAAAATATGAAAATGAAAAATATGAGAAGAAATGAAAGATCTTAGAAAAAATGCAGTTTTGAAATTTTCCTGCGATTACCCAGCCAAGGCTACCAGCAGGAGAAGAAGGGAAAATGTCAACGGAAGACAAAATGCTGTGAGTAGTACAGTGCTTTCAAAAGAGATCCTGACTGCATAATTGTGGCTAAGAGTTCCGGAATGCAACTAGCAAAGCCAGAGTGGTTAGCTCACTGACCTACACTCTTATTCCTCTCTCTGCCTGTCACACCCGTACAGCTCTCACATAGATTTTCCTTTCTTTTTTAGTATTTTTATTGATATATTTTAGCTACACGTTACAGTTACATTCATCATTGGGACCGTGTACCTTTACATGACATTCTATTTCTTTTTTGTTTTCTTTAAATGGCATTCGATTTCTTTTTTGTGTATCTCACATTGAGATAACTGTGTCTAACTCACAGACTTACTTAGAGAACTACATAATACACCACCCACTAAGAGCCCACCTGGCCCATGACGATCCTCAATGCTTCGTGTTTCCTTCTTCTCCTGGAGCCTTCTGTTGCAGTGCACATGTTCTGAGGAGGGGAACCACACACTTGGTTACGGATTCTGCCTCTTAATGAGCTTTTGCTGTGGAAAGAGGGCATAAAGGAGAAGACTTCAGAGTGCATAATGAGGGGTACATGGAGGAAAGGGGTCAAAGAAAGAATCCTGGACTGGAGAAGGGTCAGGGAAGACCAGCACCTACCTGTTTCATGTTCCATTTATTATTTAGCTTCATCCTGGCTACATTTTATTTTTAAATAATGAGAGAAAGTAGTCTTTCCTGCACTGAGTATGAAGGATGTTAGTCCTGACCTGAAGTTTAATGTGCATCTGTCTCCAGTATGACAGATTGCAGACCTCATCCACAGCTAGAAGATCTTCTTGACCAGCACATAGGGACAGCCCTGTCTGTGGGACAGTATCAAGGGACAGGGCACAGCTCTAGGGAATCGAGCTCTTATCAGTGAACACGCAGTGCTTGCTGGGTATCTCCTCTAATGTTAGCATCGCACGGGATTGCCACTCGAATGTTAAGTTCACATTGCTAATAGGTGGCAAAGAAAGCCTTCCAAGAAGGTCAGACTTCAAAATCATTCTTTCTACTACACTAGTCAGTATCCCATGGGCTCAGAAGGTCCTTAATTGGTCAGTGTTTAAGTGAGACAACTAGTCCATTTTTTGGAGTACATATTTTTCTGGTTTTTTTTCCATTCTTCCCTGTCCTTCTTTTTGCTTATCTAGTCTCTCAAATATATTTCTTTTCATTTGTCTTTCTTTCATCTCAAATTTAGCTCTGGTAATAAGATTTAGCATCCCGAAGAGAGTCCATATGCCCTATGCCCTAATGTAGCCATCTGATGGGGCTGTTGGCTCGAACTTCAAATGTCAAACATCCAAAAGTGAGGAGAGAGCAGAGCAAACAGTTTCAAAGGTTTTAATGCTAATTTTCTGTATGACCTTCAGTATGTCTGATAACTCAAAATTTCAGTTCCCCATCTGTAAAATACTGTAATTAAGCCCAAGAATTCGTAAATTCATTTTAGAAGTCTAGGCTTCTAGATTAAAACAGAAAACATTACCGATGTAATGAGGCAGCACATTTGTGTTCTTTATATCTTATAATTTACTGTTTCTTAAGATATAAAAGGAACTTTAAAAAGTAATGCATAAAAGGCGATTTTAGTTAAACCTTTATGTATATGTTTAAAATTCCAATTTATCATACATAGTAATGTAGCTTTTCCGTGTAGGATTAGCTATATATTTTTATGAGTAAAAGGCTAATAAAAAAACTGTTCTTCAAGTTTTATTAGTGGATGGGACAATGTATCTAAGCAAAGGACACTATCATATCGTTATGTATTTAGTCCTAACTGATTTTTGTTCTATCATTAAGAATTCTATAGGGGAATCTTCATCAATTCAGTTATTGCATCTCATAATGGTCAAATACAAATAATCTTACAATGACATCTCTGGAAGATCCAAAGAAAGATAAAAAGATATGAAAGCGTGACATGAAGTTACAAAAGTTGGCCCGACAGTATTTTCTCTTCCAACAAATTCTCCCAGGGGTCCCTTTTAAGTAGGCGTTAACAAATGCTGGTGCCTCCGATGATGTATTGCTAAACAAGACAACAGAGCACGGGAGCATGTGATCTGGCCCATGTTGTACATGGAGCTAATTCATAAAATGAAGAAAGACCAAGAGTGCAGCAGAGGAAGCAAATGGTTCTTATCAGTGGTGGCAAACCTCTGCCAAGCATGTCACCGCAGACTGTTTGCATCACTGAAAGCTCTAAAAGGTTCACCCCCAACAATCTATATCATTCAACAAGGAAGCAGAGGGAAGCATGAGACCACAGATTATGTTAAGGGATAGGGTGCTGGTCATTTTAGTATTTAATTTTTCTTATTTATAAAAGAAATTTCAAGACAATCTATAAGAATTTTATCACAGATGCTTTCACTGCAATAAATTTATGTTGAATAGTTTTATTTTATTTCTACTTCAGTCCCACGAGTTTATAGTGTAGGGATAATTGAACATAAAAGCACACATACACATATGTATCTATCTATCTATCTATATTTATAAAATATATTCATACATTTATTGTTATTGCTCTTGTGCCTATGGTTCTATTTATATTTGCATAAACTTGTTTCTACATCACTTAGTCCCGGCTTGTCAGTAAAAGATTAGGAGGTTGCTAAAATGTCTTTTCTTTCAAATAGCTACTTATTATTTTTACATATGGACTTTTACTCTTTTGGTTAAAATGGATCAGCATTAACAAAGCTCTTACTAGGCTTGGGCTGTAGCTCAGTGTCTTCATGCCTGCCTGGCAAGCGCAAGGTCCTAAGTTCAATCCCCGGTACTGCAAAAAAACAAAGCTCTTACTATGACCAAGAAAATGTGAGTAACCCCTACAGCAATAATAAGGCACACAAAGTATGTATTATAAAAATGTTCACTGACAATTTCTATCCTTCTTAAGATACATTTTTTCCCTGGGAACTTATGCAATGAAAAACAAATAATAAGCTCATTATTCTTATTACAAAAATATATAAAAGTGTGACAATTAAACACCTACTTACTTTTCAGGTTGTTAAATAATTGCAGAAGTTGGCCAACAAAGATATGACAATTCAAAAGAATTAAAAGTTGTCCTTATGATAGATAATCTTGTTTTTCAACTTGAGTGGATTGGGAAAAGCCTAAGAAATGAGTAAAGCACACTGCCAGGTGTGTCTATGAGCACGTTACTGAAGACAATTTGCACCTAGGACAGAAAACGAATGTGTAATCCCATCCCCAAAATGTCGATGACGTGTTCCAGTAGGGTCAGGACCCAGATGCAGTGGAAGAGAAAGGAGAAGTCCACCAGCTTCCCCCAACTTTGCTCTCTCCTCCTAAACCACCATGAAGTGAGCAGCGCTGCCTGCCACATGCTCTCCCCCATGACATCCTGCCTCACTACATCCTCCGAAGTGATAGGGCCGTGGCACCATGGACTGAAACCTCTTTTTCTTTAGTTGTTATTATCAGACATTTTGTTAAAGGGATGAACCGCTAACAAAATCCTCATTTCCCTGCAAGTCACCGAACCTATTTGTTCTTTTACGAATGCTAATATTTGGGTGGCCCAAAGTGTTTTTGTTTTTTTGTTGTTGTTGTTGTTTTGTTTGTTTGTTTGTTTGTTTGTTTAGCTACACTTCTTCACCTGCACATGACAATAGGTATGAATCGAAAAATCAGACTTGGAAATTAGACTAGCCCTATTTTTGAATACCAGGTTTTGCATCAACTTGTGGTGTTACCATGGGAAACAGCGGTCATCTCTGAACTACCTAGAAAATAAAGGTGAGCATCACTCCTGAGAGATTTATTAGGAAGATTTAATTAATTACTCTGTGTATCTATCATGACAAATATTGTTCAACATCTTATAATAATTTTCTCTTAGATAAGATCTTTCAAATGAAGATAGATTCATAAGGGAAAGAATCATTTAATTTTAAAACAATAGCAAATTTAAAACTCACGTATTTCTATATTTTTCAGAAAAGAAGGCTAAAATCCAGAAATGGTACATAAATTAGTCAAGGTAAAGTGAAATCGATAGTTTTTTATATTTATTTTAATTGAAATTTCTCTGTTATTATTAAAATACTACTCTTTTATTGTGCTGTAACATCTAGTGATTCCAAAATAATAGGAAAGTATGACTATTACAAAACTGTAAAGGAAAATTCTTTCACTGTATTGAAAAATATAAGGACAAGTCAGTTGGAGTTTGAACACATGGTCTTCAATTCCTAG